CGCGAGGAAGTAGCTAGTCAATTATAAGTTTCATGTATTTTTCAAAGAGTTAGGCATCATTTAAGACTTCTTTCGAAATGTCTGGGAAGATTATTTTTTGTTATTTGATATTTTGTTATTTGATATTTGATGTTATTTGATACTGCATGTTGTGATGCCAATACTTTTCGTCAAATAGTTTATACTTAATTGTATAATAATTATAACATAACATAACGTCACGCCTTTTGTCCCCGAAGGGATAGGCAGAGGTGCATATTATGCCACTGTACAATGTAACACCTACTTTTTACTATTACCGATATGAGTCTCATGTAATAGGGTGTGAGCCTATTGCCATATACCGGGCACAATTCCAGACTTCGTGCTACTACAGTGAATTTTTGAAAAAGCCAGTAATACTTACCCCGACCTGGGAATCGAACCCGAGACCCATTATCCGGCAGTCGCGCTTGCAACCACTCGACGACGCAGTCAAACTTTTCAATCAAAATCATTTTTTAATCCCCATATAAATAAATTCTTAACTGTAAAATTAATTTATGCCAAATTAATTCAGTTTTTTTTTAGTATAGAACAATAATTGTCAAATCCTTACAAATATTATAAATCAGAAAGTGAGTTTGTTTGTTTGTTTGTTTGTTCCGCTTTCACGCCGCAACTACAAAACCGATTGCTTTGAATTTTTGCAGACGTAAAGTTAGAAGTCCGGATTCAATAATAGGGTACCTTTTATCACGGAAAAATTTGATTTTACCGAGGGAAAACAAAAGTATTCGTATAGATGGCGCTGTATGCATTGGTATATGTCACATAGGTTACTTTTATCCTTTTGTAACGCGAGCGAAGCCGCGGGTGAAATAATATTTAATAATTATTTCTCTGATTTTGTTTGCGGTTGGATAAATCGGCCGTAAGTAATCTAAAAAAATAAACAAATATCTGTCAAATTAAACAAATCAATGAGGAGAGGTCTTATAATTAAAAAAACTCGTTATTTTGTGTCATCATCATCATCATCAACAGCCTATAAATGCCCACTGCTGAGCAAATCCTCTTCTCACACGGAGAAGGTTAGAGCATTAATCACCACGCTTGCTCAATGCGGGTTGGCGATTTCAAACTTATAATTAAAAATTATAAGTTCAGGTTTCCTCACGATGTTTTTCCTTCACCGTTTGTCAGTGGTGTCTAAATAATCTTAGAAAGTACATATAACTCAGAAAAAGTCACATTGGTACTTGCCGTTGGTAGGTTTCGAACCCACACCCTCATGCATGAGAAGTGGGCGTCTTAAACCTCCGGGCCACCATGACTCCCGTCTCGTTATTTTGTGTAGTATCAAAAAAAATATAAGGAATTGGGTTCAAACGAGACGGCTCACCTGACGGCAAACAATCAGCGCCACCTATGGACACCTAGAATTCTAGAGGAGTTACCAGTGTGTTACCGGCCTTCTGCAAGAGGGAGGGATAGAGGTCAATGCACTTTATTATCAATATAGGCATTAACTGACATCTTGCTTAGCATTCTTAAGTATATAGATAAGATAGTGGGTCTTAACTTCATGCTGCCTCGTTGGCCGAGGGTCGCAAGTGCGACTGACGGGCAAGGGGTTTCAGGCTCGATTCCCGAGCAGACAATGTATTACTGGGTTTTATAAAAAAAAAAAACAGTAGTAAGTAGTACGGAGTCTGGAATTGTGCCCGGTATATGGCAATAGGCTCACCCCTAATTACATGGGACTCATAACATAAATAGTGAAAAGTGGGTGTTACATAGTACAGTGGCATTAAGTGCCGTAATGTGCACCTCTGCCTACCCCTTCGAGGGTAAAAGGCGTGATGTTATGTATCTTAACTCCATACAACACAACTTCACAGCTTTCCTAAAGATGGCACCTGCGACACCCGCTAGAAAAGTAGGGGTGGTGATAAATGTATTCTATTCATTTGTAATACTTCTGGTGCTGTAGGTACTTAAGACCCGGCTCAAGCTGGCCCGGAGGTTGACGCTTCTCATGCATGAGGGTGTGGGTTCGACCTACAAACGGCAAGTACCAATGTGACTTTTTCCGAGCTATATATAAGGTCTAACAAAAATAGTGCACAATATTTTAACAGGTGATATAGTACATGATAAGGATTATGTTTACCTAAAAAAACAATGTAAACAACGACATGTTTAAGTCACAATGCACCGCGGTTGCCTACTAGCGGCTGGCAGTTTGAAAAATAAAAGAGATAGCATTAGACTAATATTGTCGCTCGCACAGGACGCGCTGATTGGGAATAGGTACATATTGCAGGATGGCATTATAAAAAGCAATGAAAATAATAAATTATTAATAATAATTGATAAGTTTTTATAAAATATTTTCATAAAAAATGATGTTTATCACATACTAATTGACCTACTAAAATATTGTGCACTATTTTTGTTACACCTTATATACTTTCTAAGGTTATTTAGACACCACTGACAAACGGTGAAGGAAAACATCGTGAGGAAACCTGGACTTATAATTATAAGTTTAAAATTGCCTAACCCGCATTGAGCAATCGTGGCGATTAATGCTCAAACCTTCTCCGTGTGAGAAGAGGTCTTTGGTCAGCAGTGACCACTCATAGGCTGTTGATATGGAGGTGCTCATGACGGCCATTGATTACCATTAGGTGATCCAGCTGTTTGTTTATTCATCATTATCATTCAATGATTCAACGAAAGAATGTAACCAAAAATTGTATTGTGAACCTGATTGAAAAAGAATAACCTATGGAGTTTCTTGCTCGTTCTTCTCCATAGGAATCTACACTTTGGAACGAGCGAGTAGCTTCACTAGAGGACTGACCTACAGACTGACATTTTTTCTTATTATTTAATATTTCAATATTTTGTTTTTGGCGTTCAAAAGTGCCTTCTTGGAAACTTACTCTTGAACCCAATCTTAGTGTCAATGCAATTTCAATCTATCTCAATAATTATTCAATGTCAACACTATACAACCACAATCGTAGCTGTTAAAATAGCATTCAGAGTACGGATTATAAAATAAATTAAATACAATTTAGTTCATTCAATATCCACGCAATACGGATGCAATGGGCGCTAGTGTTGCACCTCAAGAGTACGACATTTCACTATACCAATGTCGATCGATCGGAATTGGATTCAAGAGTAAGACCCCTGGTTTAATTGAAATAAATGATTTTGACTTTGACTTTGACATTGTTGTCCAAAGCGATAGCGCTTAAAACCCCTGAAAACCCGAATCACAGAATCACTCAGTCAATCAGTCAAAAAGAAAATAAATCACATCAGATCTTTTTAAACTTACCATAGTCAGAAAAATAAAAAATAAAAAAATAAATACCGTCATAATCGACATTAGCTTTGACACGTCGCAGTCAAACTGAAAACAGTGTTTTGATTTGATAGTTTACATGAATATAATTTTTATTGCTTTTAATTAATCAACATGGCGCATTGGTAAGTTGACATACGATATATATAAGAAAACTTAGCGATGTGGTAACTGCAGAGGAGAATATATAGGGTGTGAACGGAACTCTCCCAAAAAACACGGACAGGTTATGGTAAAAAACAAGATTTATATTCATATAATGAAGAAATTAAATGTTTTTAATGTATTAACTAGCTTCTATCCGCGACTTCGTACGCGCAATCCCATTTTTCCCCCGTTCCCGTCCTTGATTTGCGTAAATAATCTAAAAAAAACTGTTAGATACAAAGTATCCTACGTCCATCTCCTGGTTAGGCTCACAAATTTTCATCAAAATCGATTTAGCCGTTCTTGAGTTATAAACAGTGTAACTAACACGATTTTTTTTATATATAACTAGCGACCCGCCCCAGCTTTGCACGGGTGTAATATGCATGTATTATACATATAAACCCTTCTTAAGAATCACTCTATCTATTAAAAAACCGCATCAAAATCCGTTGCGTAGTTTTTAACATCTAAGCATACATAGGGACAGACAGACGGCGGATACCGACTTTGTTTTATACTATGTAGTGATACTAATATTATAAAGCTGAAGAGTTTGTTCTTTTGTTTGTTTGTTAGAACGCGCTAATCTCCGAAACTACTTGTCCGATTTGAAAAATAATTTCTGTGTTGGATAGCCCTGGATAGGCTAATAAAATATCACGCTACGATTAATAAGCGCCGAGTAGAACAAGTGAAACCACGCGGAAGTAGCTAGTGTAGTGATATAGATAAATAGTTGCAATCAACTGCTCAAGACTGATGTTTGCACAAATAACAGGAGAACAAAAACATTATTTTTGTCGGCGTTTCGGGTGAATTCCATTTACACTCTGTATACACCCAGCACAATTCTGTACGCGACTTCGCGGACGTCGTTAGTACGTAAGAACCGAGAGTCGTAGGTATGCACATTTGACAAAAACTGGGTAAAACCGCTCTGAATATTTGAAGCTAGGATCTCCAACTCGTTAAAGCGTGACGGCGAGGTCATATCCAACCTTCTTATGTAGAGGAGGCTCATAGTTCAGCAGTGGACTGCCATACGATATCTTGCAGGCAGCATTTTGTTCCTGCTAGTTTGGTATTAGCAAATTTAAAGTTTGCGTGTGCATTGCTATGTTCTTTTACTTAGGAGTAGAATTCTTTGCACGTGTCTGTGTTTCCTGAAGAGTATTCAAGGTCCGAGTGAATAGGTTGCTTATGAGCTGACGTGCTCTATTATAGACCTCATCATCGCTTACCACCAGGCGAAATAGTGGCCAAAGGTCGGCTCATCAAATATAAAATATTTAAGAATAGACAAGCATTGATATAGAATCAGCGCATTATCGATTCAACTTAATATGATTATAAGCTCCAATCATAGCTTGAAACTTATCGAGTATCATCGTAGGACAGGCCCTTACTGTCCAGCACCAGTGAAAATATCTATTCTGCTCATCCTTCCTACATAGGTAGGTTTAATAATATTATCCGGTTAATTCCAGCTGTTCCCAATGTGCTTTTACGTCACAATTTGAAAGCGCATTGATAATGCATAGGCAACTGCACCACGGGACGAAGGACACCTGTGCTGACATCCTCAAGTCAACTAAAGCGTTACCGGTATGATTGATTGACTCACAATAACTGACTCGTAGATCCCCAAGTCATTTACCAAACGTGGGGATGGCAGCCCCGTCTCAAGATCAGGAGCTTACTCTTGAATCCAATTCCGATCGATCGACATTGGTATTGTAAAATTTCGTACTCTTGTGTTGCAACACTAGCGCCCATTGCATCCGTATTACGTGGATATTGAATGAACTAAATGGTATTGAGTTTGGCTTTATATTCCGTACTCTGAATGCTATTTTAACACCTGTTAGTGTGTGTTGACATTGAATAATTATTGAGATTTTAATGAATTAAAATTGCATTGATATTGAGATTGGTTTTAAGGGTAAGGCACCCAGAGCTGTATTATCTCTAAGGCAAACTAGCCAAGTGCTTGTGGCGCCAGTTTGCAGAGGGGCACAGTGAGATGAGTGTGCCTAACTGGCTTGGACTTGGCTAAAAAAAATTGGTGGCTATGTGGTACTTGTGTTTTTTTAAGGGGAATCATCGGATCACTGCTCCCTTCTATTTGAAGCGGGAGGGAGTGTCAGTTACTTACTGTCTAAAAGCCACCCGGTTCCTACTCCTACACCACAAGCCGGAGCCCCGGTAACCTTTTACGTTATCCGCGGCTTCGTATCCGAATGAGCTCTATTGGGCCCCATCTGTGGTGGTTTAATGGCTCTTTAATTCTCGGGTCTAGTACTGGAGGGCGCGAGCGGCGAGCTACCCATGATCGCCGTCCGCAGGCCCGAGGGCGCTTTCTAGATTTAATCGGCTTCTACTCAAGATAAATTGTTTTGTAATGTGATGTGAGGATTAGTCTACTATCATTATCAAACAGTATACATAGTAGTGGCTACTACGTAATAGCTACTACCACTGACGGATCAGCGGACTCACGCATTAGTGCTAGTAATTCTAATTTGAGATGGAAGGTATTGATTCTTATTTAAAAATATTGTAGTCAGTAGTAGCACGGAGTCCGGAAATGGGCCCGGTATATGGCAATAGGCTCACCCCCTACAACATGGGACTCATAACATAAATAGTGAAAAGTGGGTGTTACATTGTACAGTGGCATAATGTGCACCTCTGCCTTCCTTCTGGGATAAAAGGCGTGATGTTATGTTAGGTTATGTTATTGTAATCAAGTTTTGACTTTATCTGAACAAAAAGCTAGGAGGTAAACTTGTACAAGTTCGTACCAGGCGCATCAAAGGATAATACTCAGAATTGGAAATTGGGAAGCCCCATTTGAACAAAACCAATCGAACTAGTGGTTCTTAATATACAAATACAAGGAAATTAAGAATATTAGCTCTACTATATTTTTATTTTAAACGTTACGTAACATTTTAAGTTCCAATGTGGTGAAAAAGACCAAATTAAAAGCACCCTCAATCGTTCTCGTCAGTTGAAGGCGCTTTTAATTAGGCCTTTGATGATAAGATGAAGCGAAGACTGGAGACGTCAAAACACCTGTGCAGCCAACTGCTACAAGAAGAGGATAGTGAAGTCGAAGTTAAGAACATTATTGACAAACACATCCCTCAAGAAAGAACTGGCTGAATTACATGTCCTGTATGTGGACATACTCGACCACCACTACTAACTGCAGTACACTCACACACAAGTGTGGGAGAGCCGTGCTTCAGCATGAATGAGCCGGCTCGACCGGAGTGATACCACGGCCGAGCAGAAAACCGACGTGAAGCAACGCTTGCGTTGTGTTACGTCGTGTGAGTGAGGTTACCGGAGGCCCAATTACCCTCCCCTTCCCCAATCTCCCCAATTTCTGAATCCTCAACGATCCTCAAACTCCTAATCCCCAAAAGGCCGGTAACGCACTTGTAACGCCTCTGGTGTTCCAGGTGTCCATGGGCGATGCCGATTGCTTACCATCAAGTGATCCGTCTGCTCGTTTACCGCCGACGTTCCAGAAGTGCCATAATACACACCTAGCAGCTTTAAATCGGTTTACCGAATTATAGTCTGAACTGTGCGATGCACATAGGATAATAATTTTGAGGAACAAAATGCTAATACGAAACCTTTATTTGATGTGTAGGTAGTAAATGTTAGTGAATGTTTAAGAAATCATAGTTCATCACAGCGCTGCGAACCAACTTCAACCTCCTAAACTTCAATAACTATATACCCTCAGAAGGATAAAGTAAATCATATAATTAAGCCTTTGACTGCCGACAGAAAACTGCTAAAGGCAAATCCTCCGCTAACGTAGGTCACCGGCGACCTACGTTAATAATACGTTAATAATTAAAACGAACGTGTTAATAATAGTTTTATTTTGGATTACTATTATTTCCTTTAATGAACTAGCATCAAGCCTTTCGGCTTTCTACCGGATATATTACGGTGAGTGTGCGGGGGGATTATTGCGACCGACACGACAGATACGACAGTCAAGACAGAAACGACAAGCACGACCGACAAGACAGATACAACAAACACGATCGACGCGACAAACACGACCGATACGACCAACACGACAAGTACGACAAGTACGACTGACACGACAAAAACTTTATAGCTACGGTATCAGAGGAAATGTATTGAAACTAGTAGAATCGTATCTCACTGACAGATATCAGTGCACAGAGGTTACTAGAATTTGTCCTAAGACTAAACTGGTTACAACCTACAAATCTAAACCAAGACGTATAAATTATGGCGTGCCTCAAGGCAGCGTCTTGGGGCCGCTGCTATTTTTGATATACATCAATGATCTTCCTAAAGTCACACGTCAAAAAATGGTCCTCTTCGCAGACGACAGTACTGCTATAATTGAATGTAACAATCCACATACTTACCAAAATGATATTAATAATTCCCTTTCTGAAATCATTGACTGGCTGAATAACAATAATTTGATTATTAATCTAAATAAGACAAAAGTAATGCATTTTTATCAGCGACGAGAAAACCCAACTTTAAGTGTCTCATACAAGTGTAACGAAATAGAAGAAGTCAGTCATATCAAGTTCTTGGGTATAACGATTGACAATAAACTCACTTGGAAGCCTCATACTGAAGAATTATGCAAACGACTTAGCCAATCAGCATATGCGCTCTCCCAGTTGTCAAAAAAAGTAAATATTGAGACCTTATTAACAGCGTATCATGGACTAGTTTGTTCAGTTTTACGATATGGGCTTGTTTTTTGGGGGCAGTCCGTTAATAGAGATCTAGTTTTCAAAATGCAAAAGCGCTGCATAAGGGCAATGTGTAATATTAAAATAACTGATAGTTGTGTACCTTTTTTCAAATCCCTAAAACTACTCACACTGCCATCGTTGTACATTCTGGAAACAGCGCTATTTGTAAAAACTAATTTACATCTGTTTACTAAATTATCAGACGTCAGAAAAACTCCTATGCGTACTAAATACTTAAATGAATTATGTCACACAAAATGTAAAACGGCTTTAATGTCTAGAAGTTTCTTTGGTATTGCTCCTAGAATCTATAATAAAATACCAGATCAAATAAAACAATTACCTGTCCACAAATTTAAGAAAACTTTGCAAAAAAAATTAATTGACAAATGTTATTACACAGTTGACGATTTCTTAAATGATTAAATTCCTGCCTACAGTGTTATTTTTATTATCTTCAGTATTTACTAACAGTATTATTTATTTAATTGTGACATTTTTTAATTATGACATTTTGTTAAATTGTAACATGTTTATTTCTTATTGTAAGCCACAAAAGTATCTTAACTTAAACTGCAAAATATATTTGTATGTCTTAGCATAGACAAAACATAGCGCACTGTAATTTACCTTTAAGATCTGTATTTTTGTTACCTATGTTTTACAAATAATAAATGATTGATTGATTGATTGATTGACCGATACTACAGATACTACACACACGACCGACACGGCAGTCGGGCAGATACGATTGTTACTACAGATACGACAAACACGACCGACACGGTAGACACGACCGACACGACGAATACGACAAACACGACCGACACGACAAATACGACCGACACGACGAATACGACAAATACGACCGACACGACAAATACGACCGACACGACGAATACGACCGACACGACGAATACGACAAATACGACCGACACGACAAATACGACCGACACGACGAATACGACAAATACGACCGACACGTCAAATACGACCGACACGACGAATACGACAAATACGACCGACACGACAAATACGACCGACACGACGAATACGACCGACACGACGAATACGACAAATACGGCCGACACGACAAATACGACCGACACGACAAATACGACCGACACGACGAATACGACAAATACGACCGACACGATAAATACGACCGACACGACAAATACGACCAATACGACGAATACGACCGACACGACAAATACGACCGACACGACGAATACGACCGACACGACGAATACGACAAATACGACCGACACGACAAATACGACCGACACGACGAAGACGACCGACACGACAAATACGACCGACACGATAAATACGACCGACACGACAAATACGACCAATACGACGAATACGACCGACACGACAAATACGACCGACACGACAAATACAACCGATACGACGAATACGACCGACACGACAAAAACGACCGACACGACAAATACGACCGACACGACAAATACGACCGACATGACAAATACGACCAATACGACGAATACGACCGACACGACAAATACGACCGATACGACGAATACGACCGACACGACAAATACGACAAATACGACCGACACGACAAATACGACCGATACGACGTCCGGGCCATTATGCGGAGCGAAGAGGGCAGGGATGCCGTCTCCTCCTGTTGCGAAACAGTCATGCTAGCTGGCGGAGGCGGTGCCTCTTCGCAACCCAGCTATCGCGAAGGACTCTCCGGTTGTCGGGGATCGTGGGACAAGCTCCGGCCACCTTAATCACGGGCCTGCGGACGGCGACCATGGGTAGCTCGCCACCTGACCAAAACCAGACCCGAGCGTGCGACGCGACGCTATTCGCGCGCCTCAAAGGACTATCAGACCACCACGGATGGGGCCAAATGGGACTAATGCCGGTACGGAGCAGCGGAGGACTTAAAGGGCCAAGGGCCGGCTCGAAGTGCAGGAGAAGGAACGGGGTGGTTTTTAGTCAGTAAGAGTCTAACACTCCCTCCCTTGGTGAGGCCCAAGGCGGGAGAATTCATTCGATGATTTTCCCCACTTAAAAAATAGAAAAATAGTCCTTACAGTTCTCTAAGCTGGCTTGACGATAAATCTGTATGTGTATGTTTCGTTTTACAGGAGAAACCACTGCCGGTACCAAGAAGTACTGCGCTAAGTCCAACTTACTCCCACAAGAGTAAAGGAAGCAAGCGTAAGTAGTACATAATTACCTAACGCCATGCAAGAATGCCCCAGCTCAACCGGAGTTATACCACGGCCTTACAGTTAACCGGCGTGAAACAACACCGTACTGGAGGTAACGAGGGTACCGGATCCCCAATTTTCTTCCTCATCCCCAAATATCCAATGCCTTACCTCCAAAACGCTGGCAATTCACTTGTAACTTCTTTAGTGTTGTGGGTGTCTATAGGCGACACCGATGCATGTCATTAAGTGACTAATTTGCTCGTTTGCCGCCCAAGTTATCATCATCAACAGCCTATAAGTGCTCACTGCTGAGCAAAGACTTCGAACACGGAGAAGGTTTGAGTATATCATCACGCTTGCTCATTGCGGGTTGGCGATTTCAAACTTATAATAAGAAATTATTAGTCGAGGTTTCCTCACGATGTTTTCCTTCACCGTTTGTCAGTGGTGTCTAGATAATCTTAGAAAGTACCTACATATAACTCGGAAAAGTCACATTGGTATTTGCCGGTGGTAGGTCGAACCCGCAACGTGCATGAGAAATGGGCGTCTTAACCTCCGGGCCACCACGGCTAGTACCTGCATAAAAGTAATCCACCCACAAAATGTTTTGCAACACACGTTAACGCCTTTAAACTGTCAAACACCAAGCGGTCACCGGTGACCGCGACCTATTGTTCTTTAATTGTGTCTATAAAACCGGTACTCGACGAGTTAAAGTCGCAATTGTCCATCGTTACTGTTAATTACAGCAGATTATTTATAGCTCATGATGATGACGATGATTGAAAGAATTACTAATTTTCTTTCTGTTTACTCCAACAGTCAGCTGACTGCCTCGTTAGCCGAGTCGCATGTGCGACTGCCGCGCAAGGGATCTTGGGCTTGATTACCGGGACGGGCAAAATATTACTGGGTTTTTAAAAAAAATCTCAGTAGTAGCACGGAGTCTGAAATTGTGCCCGGTATATCGCAATAGACATAGGCTAACCCCCTAATACATGGGACATAACATAAATAGTGAAAAGTAGGTGTTAAATTGTACAGTGGCATTAAGTGCCATATTTTTTTTATGATATAAGCCGGTAAGCCGAGCAGATGGATCACCTGATGGTAAACAATCGGCGTCGCTCATGGATACCTGGAACACAAGAGGCGTTACAAGTGCGTTACCGGCCTTTTGGGGATTAGGAGTTTGAGGATCGTTGGGGATTCAGGAATTGGGGAGATTGGGGAAGGGGAAGATAATTGGGCCTCCGGTAACGTCACTCACACGACGAAACACAACACAAGCGTTGCTTCACGTCGGTTTTCTGTGCACCTATGCCTACCCCTTCGGGAATAAAAGGCGTGATGTTATATTATGTTATTTACTCCAACAGTGCTAGGTCGGACATCATCAGCGACGCGTCTCTTCGACAAGCTGCGTGCGCGCATATGTCGCAGTAGGACGCTGTTCTCTCATCCCGAGGAGAACCTGGATGCTACTATAGCTGATAATAATGGTGATGTTAATGTAAGCATAATACATACACACACACAAAGTGTATTAAAATCACGTTATTTCGCATTCACGTAGGAAGATCAGTTCCTATATATTTTATGCATATGACTATATATTATACTATTTACTATTATGTAATATAAATGTATAGCTATATTATTTAATAATTACCTTTTTATTTTTTATTTTTTTCCTCTCTCTCTCTTTACTGTTAGTTTATTCTCCGTACCTTATTTTTCGCAGATTTTCTACTTAAACCCTAAGGTTGACAGGTAGAGAATGCCATATGGCATTCTGCCTTATGTGCCATAATAAAATTGTGTACATTAAAGTAAAAAAAAAAAAAAGTTCAGAAGTAACAAAGGTCCATCTCAATAGTTAATCAACAATAGGGTAGGTAGATGCCTAATTTTTATTTTAATGTCCGTCTGGTAGATTATTTCAAAACATTAGACCATATTTTTTATTTTCTTAAAGACACAGATACTTTCGACGATATATTGATTTGAAATGTCGCGTGACGTCACTCGTATGTACATTTTATACGTAGAAATGACGGTTTAGCTCCCACTCCTAAACTTTGATTCGTTATATCTAATTATTATTTTAATATACAAGAAAATAAAAAAATACGTGTCTATATATTTTTTCATTACCTAACTGACGGACTGATTAGATTTGTAACTTTCATACCCTGTCATCATCCCTATTCTATTGGCATAGGGCCGATTATTCCAACGCCGGATAAATTTTAACTGAAGAATGACTATTGAACATTTGACAATTCTTCCATACTAAAAATGTCGTGGTGGCCCGGAGGTTTAAAACGCCCACTTCTCATGCATGAGGGTGCGGGTTCGAAACCTACCAACGGCAAGTACCAATGTGACTTTTTCCGAGTTATATGTACTTTCTAAGATTATTTAGACACCTCTGACAAACGGTGAAGGAAAAGACATCGTGAGGAAACCTGGACTTATAATTTCTAATTATAAGTTTGAAATCGCCAACCCGCATTGAGCAAGCGTGGTGATTAATGCTCTAACCTACTCCGTGTGAGAAGAGGCTGTGCTCAGCAGTGGGCATTTATAGGCTGTTGATGAAAAATGTCAGATGCCAATTTTGTTCTACAGTTAAGGATTAACTGATGATTGAAAAATCGGCCTTCAGGTGACAAAAAACTGATCCCTACCGCATCTTTTCGCTATCATCCTACATGACGACAGTTGTTCCATCTTCTCCTATCAGAAGTTGAGAGACCACAACATACCATTCTTTGTCAAACTTTCTGCCTCGCACAATATTTAAAACTTGTTGAATCTTCAAATCTTAATTAACTAAAAATCGCGGGTTACTCACGTGAATATACTGAGAAAAGCTCTACTAATTTCGAACCGCAACCGGGTTCTTCCTCATGAGTACAGTGGGCGGTCGCGGCGATGTCACGCAGCTTACTGCCAGTCTGTGGTTCGAAACTGGTAGAGCTTTGTATTGTAACTTTCGTGAGACATACTAAATAAATTATTATGTTTTCGGCTTACTCACGTAGTAATTTGACGAGGAACTCGACTAGTTTCAAGCCATGCTAGAAGCTCATATTCATAAGCAGCATTCCGCGACCCGCGACGCGGCGACTGTCGCGCTGCTACTAAAGTAGAGCTGCTAGAGTAATTAACTAACATTAGCTATCATAATAATTTATTTGGTAGAGCTTTTCTGAGTTTCCCAATCAGTTCAACCCGCGGTTTTTAGTTAATCTATTATCTATTATATATATAAAAGAAAGTCGTGTTAGTTACACCACTTATAACTCAAGCACGGCAGAATAGATTTGGCTGAAAATTGGTAGGGAGGTAGCTTAGAGCCAGGATACGGACATAGGATACTTATTAACCAATTTTTTTTTTACTTTTTACCGAGAATCACGAACGGGGACGGGAAAAAATGGGATTACGCGTATGAAATCGCGAGCAGAAGTTAGTTTTGTATGTTTTTAAAAATTCTTAAAAAATTACGTAGATAGACCTACCTATTTAGTAATACGTAACTATGTACATATAATCCAATTCAACCACACAGGAGACAGTGATAGGCAGTGACTGCACCTCAAAAGGTTTGAAAGCCCTCACGTCTTCTCCCGACTCCCGAACTTCTGAAATAACGGTCAGGGAGACGAAGGAAACCTTTGCATGCCATTTATGCTCGTTTGATGCTGACAGGTGAGGCAATAGCCATTTTTAATAGGAATTTACTTATTTGGCGATTTTTTCACACTAAACTAGGTTCAATAGTCGCCCAATGGTTGCTGTTCCTGACTGCCTCGTTGGCCGAGTGGTCGCAAGTGCGACTGCCGGATCAGGGGTCTCAGGTTCGATTCCCAGGTCGGGCAAATAATTACTGGGTTTAAAAAAATATCAGTAGTAGCACGGAGTCTGGAAATGTGCCCGGTATATGGCAATAGGCTCACCCCCTATTACATGGGACTCATAACATAAATATAGTGAAAAGTGGGTGTTACGTTTCACAGTGGCATTAAGTGCCGTAAAGTGCGGCACTTAACGGCACTTAATGCCACTCTGAGAGAGGCAGAGGTCTGCCTACCCCTTCGGGGATAAAAGGCATGATGTTATGTTGATCCTTGTATCGTCTGCATACACAGATATATTGTCTGCATACCATTCATAACTTACCTACACCCAAATACTGAAGGCTACTCAATGTCAAGTCGAATGCGGCATGCTAGAAGGCGCCTGTGGATTCGCAAGCAAATCCGAATTAGGGTCGATTTTTCAATCATCAGTTACTTCTTAATTGTACTGTACTGTACTTTTAAATGAAAAATGAAATAATTTTGAATATTTGACAATTCTTCCATAATATGGACTAACTGTCTAATGACTAAGTAACGAACACTGTCAAATAACAGTTTTATTCTACAGTTAAGAATTATTGGGTACTTGCCAACTATTCAAATTCAATACTTTTTTCGAACTGTCAAAAACAACAGTTTTGTATTTTGTACGACATTGTGTATTGTGACGTCACGTTTTTTTAGCGTCAAACAGCAGATTTATTTCTTAATAATTAGCTGGAAAATTAGTAAAATTAAGTTGGTCATAAAATCAGTTAATGAAAGTTTTAAATATTTTATTGTATTGAACAGTCGAAATAATTTATTTTTGATTAAGGAACATATCCAATTAATTGATGATTGAAAAATCAGCCCTTGGCTTGCTAAGAACAATCATTCCAAACACACATGCAATTAAGTGACAAATTGTAACAGTACTTTTAAACTATTTTACAGAATAACGGTCTTAGATAGGCATCTTCTAAACGACCACAAAATTGGTTTAGAAAACCTACTAAAATTAGTTATGGCGAAAACCAAAGATGGCTTATCAGAGGAAATTGTCAACACCGCAATATATGGGATAAGACAACCATACTATAAACCACCAGATGAAATAATTGAAGACGGAGAATTTGTCATTGAGACGGTGACACCGAAAATTAAAATTCTGAAACATGCGTCCACAAATACGGATATACAATGGTCTGATATACCCGATTTGAAAGATAATTGTCGAATGATATCCAAAGAATTGGAGAAATTAATGAATTATCCAATTGAGAATTATGACAAAGATGATTTTATGACTAAGATGCAGACTCTAAACGATTGTATGTGCAAATTCGTCGATTCTTCTAATACTCTTAAAAAGATTTTAACTAAAGAGTTTGATACGAAGCATTCGGTGCGTGATCATCTGAACTTGGATCAACCGTTCTATGACTTGTGTTTGGGGGAGTAAGTTTTTATTTTGTTTTGTTTCTTTCATCATTACTCCGTGGAGTGTTTTCGCTATATCTTCATTATAGTCATATGCTTCTGTAACTGTCTACAGCTCAGCTTCCTTATTTCCATGTTAATTAGGTCAGGACAAAGTCTTTTTCCTTTCGGGGAGAATCTGTCGTTGCCTTATCAACAGCTCTTTTCTCTTTCATATCATTCCGAACTGTTAACTTTTGGGATTTTTTGGAAAATCTTTGGGAAAGGAATTTGATTGAAGATATTTATAGGTTTACAAGCTGACCCGGTAGACTTCGTATCGCTGAACTTCCACAAATAATTCAAGACCAACATTAGCCAAATTGGTCCAACGGTTCTCGAGTTTTAGCGAGACTTACAGCAATTGATTTTTATATATTTTAGAGACTTTTCACACATTTTCCAGCTCCTAATATTCAACTACTGTTAACATTAATTCGTTATTACTTAGTTTTTTTTATGGCATAAGCCGGTATACGAGCAGTCGAATCACCTGATGGTAAGTAATCAGCGTAGCCCATGGACACCTGGAACACCAGAGGCGTTACAAGTGCGTTACTGGCTTTTTGGGGATTAGGAGTTTGAGGATCGTTGGGGATTCAGGGATTGGGGAGATTGGGGAAGGGGAGGGTAATTGGGCCTCCGGTAACCTCGCTCACACGACGAAACACAACGCAAGCGTTGCTTTACGTCGGTTTTCTATGAGACCGTGGTATCACTCCGGTCGAGCCGGCCCATTCGTGCCGAAGCATGGCTTTCCCACACATATACTTCCACCCAAAACCAAAAAAGTAATTTAGTGTTTGATATTATGGTCTACACACTTAGCACTTGAGAGACAGCAGTTTAAAACGTTCAGGTTTATCAAAAACCGCTGCTGTTGCTGCCCGTTCACTGTCAAATGTGTAGTCCTTCAGTCTTATGACAGCTGTGGTATAAGAAGAGGTGGTAACTGAAACTATCCGGCTTATTATATCAATGACTATTATAGACGAAATGTTACATATTTATTTATGTATTTTTATTGTTTAAGCAGTAGAAATACGTCGCGAGTGTGGGAGCGAGCCCACAGCGAACAAATGGATAGAAACAGGAATAAGTATGGTGAAAACAGGTTCGTATGAGATAGATAACAAATAATTACGTATAGTCATCCAAGTTATTTATTACGTCACATGAATATATATCAAACTATGCAAAACCAGTATAAAGTGACCTTCGAATGTGTAGAAAGATTATACAGAGCGAGAGCATGATAAACTGGTTACGCTCAACCAGTATAAACTAACCGTTGAATGTACAGAGATATCATACAAAGAAAGACTATGTTTAACTGGTTTTCTGTTACTCGATGTGGTGTGGTAAAATAATAAAGATTGATTCAGTACAGAGGCAACAGCTATTGGTTGGCTATTGAGCAAGTAATGGCTACTGTGTGAGCAATAATTACTAAAGATAGGCATATTAAACATCCGACCAGAAACAGACCCGAGCGCACGGCGCGTCGCGTTCCGCTCGCGTCTCAAAGAGTCATCAGACCACCACAGCAAACCAACTCAAACATACCTATAAACATACATCGATAATAATGAACCTTACTACATTGACACAAAAGCCCATTCCCCACAGAGTCGGTGGAGCTTGGGCCCCAATAGGGCCGATGCCGAGAATCTAACGGGTAACCGGGGCTCCGGTTCGACGTGCAGGAGAAAGAAGGTGGTTTTTAGTCAGTAAGAGTCTGACACTCCCTCCCGCCTCACCCAGGCGGGAGCAGTAATTCGATGATTTTGGCACCGTAAAAAAAAACCTATCGAGCGAAGCCGGCCGATTTCGCCCGACATATTATAAGGCGACATCGCGCACCTTATGTCCACTGCGACGGTTATGTTGCCAGACATATCGACTGAAGTCTGGCAATGTCGCGCTACTTCACCCAACGTCGCTGGCCACACGTGTCGCAGGACATTTTGTCTCCTCTTTTTTATCCTTGGCTTAACGATCGTGGCTGTCTGTACAGAATCAATCCTTTATTTTCTTACCTGCGTAGCAAATAGCTTGGTTGACTGTTTATATTCATGCAAGATATGCTTTCAGTATCACCAAACGTGTCTTTTTTTATATTTTTTTTTTTTTGTTGAGCTTTTAATTGAATGTTTTTGTTTTAACGCCCGTCTGGTAGATTATATAAAATCATTAGACACGTATTTTTTATTTTCTTACGGACACAGGTACTTTCGACGGTATATTGATTTGAAATATCGCGTGACGTCACGTTTGTGTACGTTTTATACTCAAAAGTGACGTAGCTCCCACTCGTAAACTTTGATTCGTTTTACTTAAGTATTGTTTTCTTATATGACAAAATAAAAAAATACGTGTCTAATATTTTTTCATTCTGATTACATTTTCAAATTTCATACTCTGTCATCATCCCTATTAAGAGGCCAAATGATCTTTGTTTGTGTGAAGTATTCGAGACAAGCTCTACTTGTTTCAGGAGACACCGGGACTCATATGTCTCCTTCTCGTGCGCGCATGCTGCTCATGAATATGAATCCCGGTGCGACTTGAGACTAATACGAGCTTTTCTCGAATAATTCACGTGAGTAAACAGTAATTTTTATTATTAAAAGTAATAGCATAATGTCATTTTATATGTTGTTGTGGCCCGGAGGTTTAGGACGCCCGCTTCTCATGCATGAGGGTGTGGGTTCGAAACCTACCAACGGCAAGTACCAATGTGACTTTTTCCGAGTTATATGTACTTTCTAAGATTATATAGACACCACTGACAGACGGTGAAGGAAAACATCGTGAGGAAACCTAGGCTTATAATTTCTAATTATAAGTTTGTAATCGCCAACCCGCATTGAGCAAGCGTGGTGATTAATGCTCAACCCTTCTCCGTGTGAGAAGAGGCTTTGCTCTGCAGTGGGCATTTATAGACTGTTGATGATTGAATAGCATAAAGCTGAAGAGCTTCTTTTTTGGATACAATATAATCTGTGATTTTTAAATTTAATGATAGACACACACACAATTATTAAATTTTGGCATAATATGCGGATTACAAGCATGTGATGCTTTCGTCCGTGCGTCACTGCAGGGGTGCCAACTGAAAATCAGCGTTGGGTGCTCATTGTGCCCAGCTTTTAGCTGAGTTGGCGACCCATTCGGCTTGGGCATGTCTGCCAATATCGCGCAGAACTTATGTTATTTCTATTTTTATTATCTTCTAGTTTTATAATTTATTTTCTATCTTTTTATTCACACTCTCTTGTGTTAAATTTTTGTTTAGTTATTTTATCAAATTGTATTGTAGGTATTGTTATTATTTTGCTCCTTGCATTCATGCCTTATGCCGAATAAAACTCTTTTCATTTCGTTTCAAGAGTTTATCTGTTTGTTTGCATGCGCTTATCTCCGGAACTACTGGTACAATTATTTTTGTGTTGGATAGACCATTTATCGATGGTGGCTATAGGCTTTAAATCACTATGCTATGATCAATAGAAGGTGAGCAGCGGATGAAATCGGGGTAGCTAGTTAATTGACTATGGCCTCACGTAAGTTTACAGAAAACAATCATCATCATCATCAACAGCCTATAAATGCCCACTGCTGAGCAAATCCTCTTCTCACACGGAGAAGGTTTGAGCATTAATCACCACGCTTGCTCAATGCGGGTTGGCGATTTTAAACTTATAATTAGAAATTATAAGTCCAGGTTTCCTCACGATGTTTTTCCTTCACCGTTTGTTAGAGGTGTCTAGATAATCTTAGAAAGTACATATAACTCGGAAAAAGTCACATTGGTACTTGCCGTTGGTAGGTTTCGAACCCGCATCCTCATGCATGAGAAGTGGGCATCTTAAACCTCCGGGCCACCACGACCACAATAAATAATGTTTCTTTTTTATTTCAGAGACAAGAGACTTGCCTCGGAGAGTTTTTACTTTTAATTATAATATAATTTGTGAACAATTTTAAGATACTTTAGATAATAAATTGTTATTTATTAATTAAAATATTTTTGGTTGTTTTATTTTAAAACTGCGGTTATTGGATTTTGGAACTACGCAATGTGAGCGTTATGTTAAACCTCGTCAAAGTTTCGTGAATAAGCAGCCATACACTATAATAAAGATCTTTTATCTTATATTTTTAAGGATTTTTAAGGAACAGAAATTAAAGTTTAAAGAACACAGACCTCGCCCAAGACGAAATAATCGTATCTCCTTGGTATAATTCAAAAGCATTCATAACTTACCTACTGCCTCGTTGTCCGAGTGGTAGCAAGTGCGACTACCAGACAGGGTTTTATTCCCGGGTCGGGTAAAGTTATATTGGGTTTAAAAAAAATAGTAGTAGCACGGAGTCTAGAATTGTGCCCGGTATATGGCAATAGGCTCACCTCCTATTGCATGGAACTCATAGCATAAATAGTGAAAAGTGAGTGTTACATTGTACACTGGCATTAAGTGCTGTAATATCCTACCCCTTCAGGGATAAAAGGCGTGATGTTATGTTACTTCATTACACGGTGGCCGTATGATAACTAAGGTATACAGAATCGCCCAAAAGACAGAATCCAAAGTAAATCGTTGAAAACGAATTCAAAAAGCAACTTTATTTAAAAACAACAGTAAATATAAAAACCACGAAAACAGGCCTCACCACAGTTTCGTCTAAAACTAATTTCTGTTCATTCAAAACTGTCACAACATTTAGTGTTGCCACCAACTAAAATCTGACTCAGTGATACCCACTGTCTTCGACACAATTATGCTGGCAACAATAATCTTCATTCATTTCTCTGCAGTGTTCGCAAATCAACACTCCGGTCTGCACTTTACGTTTATGTTCATAATGGCAACACAGCATATAGACGCACTTGTCACACTTTTGTTTATCAGAGTGGCAACACTCATTCTTGCTATTAGAGTCACCACTGGACATGCAAGTTTGGCAAACCTTGCACGAACTATTTTGAGAATTGACGCATTCGTAGCCAAAGTCTCGTTTATTCGGTTCTGCATGTATATTGTAATTGTTATTAACCACTGGCAGAACTCTTGGACCACTTCTCACCATTGGACGGTTGGATATGTCAGAGATTTTCTGGCTTGGCTTTCGAACAGTGGCGAATAGTCTGTTCACTTCCTCAATAGCGTCTTTCGACCGACTCTTTGCTTTGAGGGAATATTTCAATTCCTCCAACTTCATCTGTGGTATTGAAGAGGACTTATGCTTTAAGAGGTCCACGGAATTTCTACTCCCCACTACTTCTGGTTGGCTAGAGTTCACGATAATAAACTTTCCATTTTCATGAGTTTTCTTCGTATCCTCTATAGAATATTGGAACGTACTAACAGTTAGTCTGGTTCGTTCTTTTAAGTTTTTGTCATCATTTTGGTCGTCTGTTGCAACAGCTACGTCTTTCAGAAGTCCGGATTTGACTTTATCTTTGTTCATATCGACTTTTTTATTTTGGAACACGGTTAGTACTTCATTTAGAAGACTCAAGCCTTGTGCGACATTTGTGTCCGATGTTTGGACTGTTTTAACATTGGGATCCTTGCTTGAAGGGCATTTATCCTTCATTTCTTTTTCTTTCTTTATTTCATTTAAAACGCATTCTTTTGACTTCTGGCATATAGGACAACTTTTTGGAATTTTCCTGCAACATTCGTTAGCTTTCCCTTCAACTCTGTTGTTCAAGCACATTGCACAAACGTACTTTTGATTCTTTTGATATTTTTTTGGTGATCTGTCGTCCATGTTGGCTTTGGCGATAAGATCCGAAGGTTTTATATATGTTGTTATTTTTATACAAATACTTCTTCCGTTTGCTACTGATATCATATGAAGATCTGAAATGTTAATTATTAGGGATGAGGTATTCTGATATTTGGTTTAGGGAAAATATAGCAGCCATTACAGTCCAAATGGATAAATATATGGGAAGGCGGACGTGGAGACTTGAAAAGTAATAAAAGGAGAGTGTGTAAGTATACTTCGCATGCAAATATCTTGGACTGCGTTCAGGTAAATAAGATAGCTTAGCTTATAGCCTGAAAATGCGGTGAAATGGTTTCAGTATGGGATGGTACGATAGTGTTTGCGTTGCACTCGACTTGGCGGGGGCACTGCCGTGATACGGAGCTAATCAAACCAAACCAGTCATAAAATGATAATCAATAAAAGTAAGTTTTACCCTGTCAATGAAGCATAAAATGTCCTTCTTCATTTTGACCAGACCACAAAAATAAAATCATAATAATTATAAATATTTACGAAAAAAACAGTAAAATGTATATAGTGAAGTTAAAATGTCAAAAAGATATAAAATGAAATTCAAATCGGCTGAATGTTTTCGTCAACGGTCTATCATTGAGATTATTTGTTATGGTATTGCTAGAGAATTCTAGTGGGAAGGAATAGTTTATGGTATTACTAATTTTTCCATAGCGTAGCCATTCTAATTTGAACTTTAGCGTAACACATACTTGGTTTGTTCTCGAATGGGTAAGCAAAGGTGAATATAATATTACATATTTGAACAACCAACAGAAGAACAGCAACCTATTCACTCGGGCCTTGAAGACACCCAGGTCCTTATACCCTATACTTCTACCCTTCAGGAAATACAGACTCTGGCAAGGAATTCCACTCCGTAGGTACGCACAAGGAAGCTAGATGCAAAGCGCTTCGTACGCATGAGTGGGACATCTACCATGAATCGGTGATGCTTCGCCAATTGTCTTGTGGTACGATGATGGAAAGGACTAGGGGGAATCAAGTTGTGCAATATCCCCGCATACGAACCGAAATGTATCCGGTAGAAAACCAAAAGGCTTGTAACTTTACGGCTGTGTTTGAGGCTTTGAACCCGGTCCTCCACAAGCGCATCATCATTGATGAGCCTCTTGGCGCGCCTATCGATGTGCTTTAACGCGTGAAGCTGATATTTAGCTACATGCTAGGAATATATCCAGAATCCGTGCTGAGAAATTATCGATAATATTGAATACGCCAATGCCCAAAACGGGTATAATATCAAAACTATGTAACTCGAGACCTCTTGCTCTATAGTCGCAGTTGGTCGCATTTGCGATCAGTCATCTAAGCCATTGCAAAATAAAATAAGAAAATAAGCATTGCCATTCAACATGGCAATGCTGCCAGTCTTCTGAGAACGTTCCCCGGTGACAGTGATGCGGACGAGTACTTTGACACCTAATTAAGGGATTTTTTTTAATTTCTAGTTGTTCGTAGTTTTAGGTATAGTTAATATTAAGTTGTAAATATTTAGGTAATTATATTTCTATTATTTTTTGCCATTGCACCATTCTTCCAGTATTGTATTCTTCTTTTCAATAATGGATGCCACAAAAGCTGTCAGATTGAAAACAATAAGACATACGTCAATAAAACTCAAAAACTGAAAGATTCTGAAAAAAATTCTCCGTACCTAATATATTAAATTTACAGTGTTATTTAAGTTTAAATAATAATTTTAAAGGTGAGACTCGCTTGTCGCATTTTCCTAGCCTAATCGTAAGTTGTAGTAATTTTATCTCACGCTAACTTTTGTATGTGACTTTGTACACATATAAATTAGTGTGTTTGTCATTTCCGTAGCAATTAAATCAACAAACATATATACCAACCCTTCAGTAGTTGTTTCGGCTGTGTGTATGTCTGTGTGTGAGTGACAGATCTCAGTAACCAGCTACAAGTAAATAAAACATACTTCTGAGTTTGTATCAGTGTTGCTTTTTTTGTTTCATATTTTTTATTATTACTTACAAAAAAAAGTGTTCAAAATATGCATCCATAACTATCAGCTAGTTCAACCCTGAAATACAAAACACCCATTTAACTAATTAAATTAAAATAAATTACAGAAACGGAAGAAGAATATTTTGAAACAGAATTGAAAATATAAAAAATGCAAGCGGCCAATTTAAATGATGATAAATAAGAAGAAATGAAAGGAAGCAGAGCCGGTCACGTGAAAAAGAGAGACAATAGAGTCGATTCGAAGTTATTAAGAGACTTACAAGCTTCGAACCAAGTAACGAATGAAAGAGACTACGTGTCATTAAGAAATGACCAAGAAACTCAAGAATTTGGTTGCCAGTACGATTGCAAAAGGGATAACTTGATATGCACCTGCAAGAACTTAGTCACACTAAAGAAAAAGCAAGAAGTAAGATATTTTGAGGTGCCAAATCAGATTTATGCATACCACAAGTCGAAGAGTTCCACCGAAATTGGCGTTGGAAGTGTAAAAGCTTTGCAGAAGAAGAAAGTTAGAAAAATATATTTGCCGGAGACAGACGATAGAGGTGTTGGTAGCTCGGATTTGTCTTCGTTTGTTTTACGTAAGTACTACAATTTTTTTATGTAAATGTAAAGACTGTTGATGAAGCGAAAGAGGTATTAAGAATCGTAACAACTGTCGTTTCATAGTCTCTGCCTCTTGGGAGACAGGCATATTATGGCAGGCAGGTTATGTACATAATATGTATGAATGTACTACAATGTATCGATCTTAGCGGGTTGTGGAGTTCTGATACTAGTCTTTCTATGTAAAAACACTTTAAAAACTTTTAGGATACTGGATAATTTTCATAGCACGGTGTTTGTGTATAGGCTCAATCAATGTTTTCATTGATTTTATTCCAAGAAATGACAAGAATGGCCTATGTAATGAACGCAATCCCAATTCCACACACTTAAGTGATAATTTATTTAATAATTGCTACATGATGTTTTTCAGGTAAACATCGCAATCGGGACAGGGTAAAACGCAATGAAAGTAAAGAAACCATATCGAAGTGCGTGGGAGGTATTATAGAATACAACATTAGTTGCGTCATGAATGAGAAACTATCGCCTATAGTGCTTACTATATCTGGCTCAACATTCAATAATGAATCAAGACCAAGTAGAAATATCGAAATTGGAAATAATTCTGTTGTAAAAAAGCTCACAAAAACAACAACACAATTTGAAGACACAATCAAAGAAAATAAACAAGCAGTGAGAAAAGAAGAAGTAACGAAAGAACAACCAATATCACAAGTCCAGGGAAATGTGACAAACAGTCCAGTTAACTCACATACAGTTAAAGAAAGTATTAAAGAAAAGTTGAACAACCTAGTAGGAAAGGCTTATTCCTCTGATTCATTAGTTCAACATGTTCATAATCTTGAGGATCCTATCGAAGAAAAAACAAGTCATCACACTGTTGACATGGATCCTGTAGCGAGCAAATTAGAGAAGGAACACAAAAAAATAACTGCTGATAAATCAAAGTCCAGAGATTCAAAATCAGCAGCTGACAAATCGAGATCTGATTTAAAAAGCCCTTCTACATTTAAACGAAGATTTGAAGCTATAAGACGAGGTTTAGCTAAAAAGGAAGAATTAAAAAAGAATCCTGTTATGGTCACTAAAGGACCAAGCCAAGAGAGTATAGCGAGTCATAAAGATGTGTCCATAAACTCGGATCCACCATCTTTAGAAGGTCGGTCTTATTCTAACGCGAGAACATACAGCCCATTTCCACAGGTTTACAGCAGAGATAAAACTACTTACAATCCTAGGTCCTCTCACTACAGACGGTCTATGACTAGTAGAAAAGACAGAAGTAGCACCCATTGGTCATCCCGATGTAACGATGATAGTGAACACCAAGGAGTAAAGGGCATGTTCAAACTGTGGGGAAAAAAGGGCAACGTGGATGAAGAAAACTGCTGCAAACGACGCTGCACTCCGAGACCTTCGTTCACCACATCGAGGAAAAGATTTAGCAAAAAAGAAGACCTTAAAATGTTAATGAAGTCAGATAGTGATAAGAAAGAAAGTAGAAAGTTTTTTTTCTTTAAAAAAAAGAATAAAAGTAATAATAAAGAAAATACTTATAAACCTGCCGTTACAAAAGGTATTACCACCGGACGTTGTGAAGTGAAGGATGGGTTGGTGATTAAGATATGTGGTGGGGCAAATACTGCAAAACAGGCATCAAATGCACCAGAAGTCATTGAAGAACATGGACAAATTTTTCGGAAAGCTTGGTTGAAAGAGTTCCTCTCGCAATCAATTGAACCACGGAACAGCGTCCAAGTTAGATGGAACAATAAAAAATATGTTCCAAGCAGTAGCACTGTCGTCGAATTAATGGACAGTGTTTACAAAGACACAGGACTTGTTTTCAGGTCAAAAAGCCAAGTCACAGTGCAACCATCGTATAAATCTTTTATGAAACAGCATGTGAGTTTTGTGAAACAAAAGATAGAAGCTTGGATGATTCCTAGAACAATCACTGATAGCCCACAAATGATTCCTCTAACACAGAATGCAGATGAAAACAAAAATAACAACATAGAAGTTATTATTTCAGATCAAAAGTGGTGCATTGACAAGTCAAAAGCTTTCTCACATAAAATAGAAGTTGTATTGCATACAGAAAATTTTACCAAACTTGACAAGGAAAAGAGTTCGGAGTACCTAAGGATTGATATACCAAAAGGATTCTTTGTAGATTCTAGCAGTGATGACACTAATAAAAATACAGTGAATCAGTTTAGTGATGAAAAGGTTTATAAAATTGTTGAATATGAGACAGGCAGTGATTTGAAGAGGGAGAAAATACAAAGGGGTTCTGATATAGGAGATCATCATAAACAGAATAATATAAAGGTGACTGTGAGTGTGAAGGAAGTCAAAGATGGTGTTTCGAAAGTTCTAGAGCCTCGTATGTCACAGATCCGGAGAGATGTGGTCATCCAGGGAAGTCATGTGAATGTCCCTTTAAAGTGTGATGTGGTCGGGGTGGGCATCATCACGCAAAGAGACCTTAGAGAGATGCGTAAGCCAATGTAAGTGGTTTCATATACATATAATCATTGTTTTGGTAGCCAGAATTGAACTCAAATTACACCCATTTTTAAGTTATTATTAGTCTATGTAACTGAAGGTTGTCTGTTAACAAAACGTTAAGCACATTTTTCAAGTTCCTGTTTTAGTGAAAATTTCATATTAGAACTAATTATTATCTCGCGATGTAATGTCCTTGAGTTTAAGGTAGTTAACCCAAAACGACTGCACGGTTGGCGCGGAGGTTGGGCAACATTTTTTGTGATCCATAAATTGTTGTTTAGGGTCTGTGCGTCATGTGTATGTGAACTTGAATGTAAACGCACCCACAACACAGGAGAAAATCGAGAAGGGCAACGTTTTATAAAAAAAATTAATTACCCGGTAATTACCAATTTGACATTTCATTAGTGGTACACGGTGAATGAGAACATCGATTAAAAATTGAGCCAATAGCGACATCGTATCGTACCATAACCTAATTGCCATTTGCTAGCCAAGAAAATGCAATGATTGATTGTTGTCTTAATTTAACAATTATTATAATTCAAATGTATTTTCAGCTTAAAGATTCAAGACGACTATTCCGACTACGAATCTGACTATGACGTTCCAAATATGAGTAAGAAGTGTGAAATAGCGGAGAGCTTTCTACAAGACTTCTGTCGTGATTGGACTCATTTAGGTAACGATTCTTGGAGCATAAGTGACCCTCACATACGATACTGCTCTCAAACCAGCTTCCACCACGAACGTCCGAAGTCAAGTCCCAACATGTATGATGAGTTCCAAACGTCAGCTATTGTGTCCTCGTGCCCAACTTCGGAGTGCATACATTGCACTGGACAACACAAGCACTTGGAACAAGACAAAAAATCAAAGAAATGCAAATGGTTCAGGCGAAAGAAAAAGAAACAAAAAAAGGATAAGAATGAAGATCTCCAAAGGGCTATACCAAAAGATTCCATTGAAGTTTGCAAAAGACGGAAGGTGCATGCAATGTTGAAATCGAAATGGATCTGTCCTAACCCGGATTCTGAACGTTCGTACATGTCAGTACCGAGTTGTGAGAAGGCAAATCAGCACTTACCGACAGTAGAATGCCCGAAAATTATGAAGTCTTGTTGCAAAACCGTAGAACCAAGACCACGAAAGCGAACTTGCAAGAAGCATGTGTCGTTACCTGACTGTGAAACTATGAACGATTGGTTAGCTAGACAGCTCAATGCGCCCGAGGGTATACTGGCATTCAAAGGCGCTGGCGGTTGTGACCTTTGTAAGAAAAAAGTTTGTCCAAAACATACGAAAATTAATCCGAATCAATCTTGTGAGATCCCACGAGCTCCCCCCTGCAGAGATTCGTGTGATCAGTTGAAGAAGCCACCATGCCCATCATCTAGATCATCCTCTGAAAGGCGTGAAGGAACTTGTTCTGGCGTGCCTGTAGTGTGTAAATCCACGCCCTCACCATGTCCAGGGTTTGACTCACCATCTCCTTGTCCTCCTTGTCCTCCTACTTCATGTCCCCCATGTCCTCCACCTCAGCCACCTTGTGTTCCATCACCACCGACTTGTCCACCATCGCCACCGCCTTGTTCCCCATCACCGCCACCCCCTTGCCCTCCTCCTTGCCCACCACCCCCTTGTCCTCCAACCCCTTGCCCTCAACCACCTTGCAACGGATCACTTCATACTCCTAAAAGGTCCCAGAATTGTACCCCTCCTCCACCTTGTAAACCACCCTCACCACCACCCCCTTGCCCGAGACAGCCTCCTTCACCACCTCCGTGCAAAAAGATACCATCATCGACTCCATCTCCTTGCAGGAGGCCACCTCCACCATCTAAAAGGCAACCAAATTGTTCCAGCAATTCTTCAGCAAATACTAGGCCTCCGTGTAAGCAAGGAAGTAATAGTTATAACGCTACTATGTATAAGAAATCATCTCGCTCACCTACGTCATCAAATCATTGTCCACATATCCGTATTGTTACATGTCCCTCTCCACCCGTGTGTCCTTACTTTTCTCCTCCTCCTTGTCCTAACGCACTACCTTGTCGTCCTTCAACATGCACCCTGCCACCTTGCCCACCACCACCGTGTCCACCACCGCCATGTCAACCACCACCCTGCCCACCACCGCCATGCCCGCCACCACCATGCCCACCACTGCCATGCTACTATCCACCTCCATGTCCTAACAGTCTTCCGCCATGCCGACGTCCCTCTGCATGCTTCCCTCCGCCTTGCCCGCCGCCACCTTGCCCACCGCCACCTTGCCCACCGCCACCTTGCCCACCGCCACCTTGCCCTGGAAGACCACCTCCATGCTGTTACCCACCACCTTGCCCGCCTCCACCATGCCCACCGCCACCATGCCCACCGCCACCATGCCCACCGCCACCACGATGCCCTCCACCACCATGCCCACCGCCACCACGGTGCCCTCCACCTCCATGCCCTCCACCTCCATGCCCTCCACCTCCATGCCCTCCACCACCGCAATGTCCGCCACCATGCCCACCACCACCATGTCCACCACCAAAGAAGCCACCTAAAAAGAAGCCTATGTGTATAGGCTCACTCCCAAATGAATGTATCCCGGTACCACAATGCCCTTCACGTTTATGTAGAACTATGCCATGTCAAACATCACCTCCTAGTTTTCACAAACGCTCTGCAAAGTGCCCTTATGATGTTTGTGACTCGCAAAGCTCTATCAAACCTGCGCCAGAACCACCGTTCTTCTATTCTCCGATTCATCCCTGTCCCTTAGAACCAGAGAAAACTGAGAAAACAGTAATACCATGTGACTCATCACCTTGTAGCAGGCGTCGACCAGATTATATACCTAAAATTGATTGCGAGAAATCGTCAGTTCCTCCGGTATACAAAGGGCAGCGAACATGCGACGACTGTCGTTCGTCGGATGTTGACGAGTTTCCTTGGCCAACCAAAAACCAGATTTCGAATCAACCGTCCCTGGCTTCCCAGTGTAACGCGTCATCTCAACCAGAAAAAATTGTGTACGGAAAATGTAAGAAAGATTGCCCTATGATGCCTAAGCTTTCCTGTGAAACTATTCCCTCGCCAAAGAAAGAATGCCCGAGAAGCTGTCCGAACAGGCAGGGCTCGCCACGTCCGCCCTGCATGCCCAAAATGCATTGTCCACAGCCACCACGACCTCCCAAACCCAAACCTCCACCTCCAGTGGAACCAATATGCCATCCAACTAAATGTAAAAGCAAATCAAGGATACCCGGGTTATTTCTTAAAATGAATCCCACTAAGAAAAGTTCTATGTGTTCCAAAGATTGTTTGGCTTGGGAAACTACAAAGTACAAAGGAGAGGAGGGCTGTATAAGTCTCAATTCCGAAGAAAGAATTACTATACGAGTAAAGAAAGACACACCTAGCACACAGGAACTAAGGGACAGTTGTAATATCAAAGTACAAGATGAAGACGGGATGACGTTGTTTGAAAGAAAGGATTACCAGCTACAGCGAGCGGGTTGCAGTATAAAGAGGCCATCCTTGTTGGGCGACATGTACAGAGCATCAGAAGTGCGCAGAGTTACCACAAATGGCTCAGTTCAAGCCATGAAGACCGACAAAGAACATTTAAAAGAAATATCAGAAGGTAAAAGTGATGCTAGTATAGCAAACCTAATAGAAATTCAATTCAAATTAAAGGTTACACAAGGAGACAATACAACAGAAGTTAATATAGCCAATGATGAATTTAAAGAAAGTGAAACGGAAGACAAAATCTCGGAGAAAGAAACAATGAACCAGACCCCACAAGAAGTTTTTGTAGTTAAAAATGAAAGCGAACAGATTGTTAACAATTGTGATCAGAAAAACGATATAAACATTCGCATTGTTATAAAAAACTTTAAACCTAAACCAGGGAAAAAAATAAACATGACACATTACACGTACAGCAAAGACTTTGCTAAGACGATATCTGAAAAATTCCACACAGTTTCGACAGGGTACAGCGATATAGTATTGCATGATGATAAGGTATTTTCAATACATAGAGCTACTGTGGACCTAACGTCTTCAGTCGAAAATACTAAAACTCAGAGTCATAAAAGTGATGAAGGTATGGGCGAATCAGTGGAAACGGATGGAAAGAAATTGGCAGGATTATCTGAATCTTCTGTATGTAGATGCATTGCAACAGATCTGTCCGACGGAAAGAGCGAAAGAATGAAATCACTACCGAACCAAAGGTTTAGTGGCAGTAAAGAAAATCAAGAATATTCAGAAGAGCTTGATCCGGATGACCACAAGTCTGACTACACTGAGTCTTATTCTGATACAGGGAAACCATCCAAATATGATACAGAGGATTCAGATACTGATAAACAAATAGAACCCACTGAGTATGAACCTGAGACAGACATTGAAAAACGAGGTGAGCAAAAGTATGACACATTTATGTCTACCGACATCGATGAGCCAGACGAGACAGTTGATACAAAACAATCAATAAATAGTCTAGATGTGATCGCTAAACTCTACACGAAAGAGGAAAAGAAAGTATTACTGAAACAAATATTGGAAAAAGCGCAAGAAAATAAGCCTGAGAATAAAGCCAGAATGAAGAAACTAAAAAACATTCTTAAAGTTATACTAACATCCGACAGCAGTGAACAAGATAACCCAAATCAGCCGAGCAAAGAAATACCGAACGACGGCAATTACGCGTCCTTAAAACCGAATTACTTTCGAGACAACGACAGTATGAACAACTACTATACAGTAGACAGTAACACAATGTTTTCCGAAATGAATAATAGTAAAGCGCTTCACCCAACAGCCGAACACAACAGCGAATGCAGTAATAGTGACAGTGCAGTTTCAATGACATCTCAAACCGAATGTAGACAAGGCGGTTGTATGTGCAGTACAATAGCTGCTAAATTGAAAATGGCGTCAAGAATAGCTGAAGAAGGATGTTGCTGCACTAAACGAAGCGTCAAGAGAAACGAAGAAATCACATGTGACATCAAACCCGATTCAGATTTTCATTACGCTACACCAGAGTTTATGGACGTAGAAACACAAAGGTCGACTTATCTTACGAGCAAGATAAATAGCACAAATCTGTCGGTACACAGCAGGAGTCTAAAACCCAGTCTAGCAGGTAGCATTGTTTTGAAAGACTCAAGGCTTGATTCAGGACTTATTAACGAGAAAACATGTTCCCAAATGAATTACATCAGGGAATGTGAGATGAAAACTTTTAAACACCCAATTCAAACAGATAACATTGTATTGGTGAGCGCCACACGACTAAACTAACAGATCACAATAAAAATAGAGAGAAAAAAAAGGTAAATGATACCACGACAAGGATGAATGCGTCAGACATTTTGCAATCTTACGAAACTAAGAAAGCTGTTTTGGAAATTTATACTGAAAAAACTGTTTCCGATGACGGTGAACGTTTGGTAGCGAAACTGCCGAAATTCGTTTATGATAGGGAAAATGAGATTCAGTCGAATTATGAGGCAATAGCAACAAATTCTTACAAGGCTGCTTGTAAGAGAAGCGTTGTAATGCTGTCAATAAACAGGTAGTCGTGCAAAACTAATCAGTATGTATTTATTGTCTTTTACGGGAATCTGTGTAGATTGTTTAGGTTTTTTTATATTTATAAATATACGGTTTTTTTTGTTTATCTTTGAAGCGTTTGTTTTCATGGGCTATAATACCGTTACTTTTTGGTATCCAATCTTAAGGCTACCATTGACGCGGAGAGCGGCAGCGGAGAAACTGAGAAATATTAACCAATAGGATTGCATGAAATCTCCGCTCCGCTCCGCGTGGAAAGGGATTTGCGAGCTAGTTTAAAAATTCATACATTTTCGGACGCCGCGCGTGGTAGCGGTGCGCGACGGCGGGGCGAGGCAAGCGAATGAGCCGGCGGCGGGGAATAGGTCTCGGGAGCAGGGCGGGAGTATGGGATATTGGGATTTTTTAAGTGGGGAAAATCATCGAATGACTGCTCCCGCCTGGGTGAGGCGGGAGGGAGTGTCAGACTCTTACTGACTAAAAACCACCCCGTTCCTTCTCCTGCGCTTCGGGCTGGAGCCCCGGTAACCCGTTAGGTTCTCCGCGACATGGGATATTGGGATAGTATAGTATACCGCTGAAGTTTGGCAGTCCATTACTCCGCTCAGCAATACTCGCTGGCCCGGAGCGAGGGGGACTGGGATGCCGTCTCCTCCTTTTGCGAAGCAGTCATGCTAGCTAAGGAGAAGGCGGGACGCGTGAGGCAGCGAAGCGCTGCCTCCACGCAACCCAGCCATCGCGAAGGCGGAAGGACACACCGGGCGTCGGGGATCGCGAGACGATCTCCGGCCACCGTAAGCGCGGGACTGCGGACGGTGAGCATGGGTGGCTCCCCGTCCGACCAGAAACAGACCCGAGCGTACGGCGCGTCGCGTTCCGCGCGCGCCTCAAAGAGCCATCAGACCATCACAGATGGGGCCCAATAGGGCTGTTGCCGATTCGGAGTCGCGGAGAACCTAACGGGTAACCGGGGCTCCGGCTCGACGTGCAGGAGAAGGAACGGGGTGGTTTTTAGTCAGTAAGAGTCTGACATTTCACCAAATGCGATGCAGTCGCTTGGGAACGTAGTTAACAATAACTTAGAGCCGATTTTTTTATTATTATAAATTTGAAAATGTATATGATAAACTATCATTAATTTCAATTTTATTCTACAGTTTAAACTGTCAAACACCAAGCAGTCACCGGTGACCACGACCTATTGTCCGTATGTTAGGTAATGAAAAAATATTAGTGTGGTTATATTTGTGTGTGATAATAATTTAAGTGTGGGAGAGCCATGCTTCGGCACGAATGGGCCGGCTCGACCGGAGTGATACCACGGTCTCACAGAAAACCGACGTGAAGCAACTAGCGTTGTGTTTCGTCGTGAGGTTACCGGAGGCCCAATTACCCTCCCCTTCCCCAATCTCTCCAATCCCTGAATTCCCAACGATCCTCAAACTCCTAATCCCCAAAAGGCCGGCAACGCACTTGTAACGCCTCTGGTGTTCCAGGTGTCCATGGGCGACGCCGATTGCTTACCATCAGGTGATCTGGCTACTCGTTTACCGGATTATTATGGCATAAAAAAATAATATTAGACACGTATTTTATTTTATCGTATAGTAAAACAATACTTAGATAAAACGAATCAAAGTTTAAGAGTGGGGGCTAATAAGACATTATTACGTATAAAATGTACATAGAAGTGACGTCACGCGATATTTCAAATCTATTGTCGAAAGTATTCATTTCTGTAAGTAAATAAAAAGACGTGTCTAATGATTTTAAATAATCTACCAGACGGACATTAAAATAAAAATTAGGCATCTGCCCTATTACCTATTCTGATCGACCCTGGAATATTATTTAAGATGCGTGAACCCCTACAGAAGACCAAGACACTTCCATGCGTAAGATGGGTTTTATACTAGCTACTATGCAGTTTATCTCTGCGACGTGTATGTGTAATGATGACCTTAATACTATTATACGAATAAAATTAGGGATAAAAGAAAAACAATGAACATGCTTCGATAAAAATAGCTTTTAATTCATTCATTACATAAGGTTCAAATCAATACAAAAATACAAAATACATATCCCAGAATTAACTTATGTGTTTAGATACATAATATATAGCGTTACAAACACGCCATTCGATTCGATTCCATTTGATTACACTTTACCATTCTTCCACCAAAAACCTTATCAATAATAGAACAGATCTATTTTAGCGTAAAAACTAGTTGTTACCTGTTACTTCGTCCGCGTAAAATATTCGAATATTCGAAGATAACCTTTCTTGTTTCAATTTTCCAAAACTAAAAAGTAGTCTATGGTACTCCTTAGTAAATCAGCTACCTGACAATAAGTCTTACAAAATCGGTTCAGCCATTCCAGAGATTAGCCAGTACAAATAGACAGACAAAAATAATTAAAAAGAAATATGTTGGTATGTGTATCGTATGTATATTTATTTATGTGCATGTAGTAAAAAGCGGTTATTTTATTATTACACTCCAGTTTTATTTATTTGTATAGATAAAGGAAATTACAAATAACATAACCTCTTTCGAACCCCTAAAGGGGAGGAAGATAGGTGTCTACAATGTAACACCCACATTTCACCAGTTTCGTTAAGAGTCCCATGTAATAGGGGGTGAACTTATTGAACTACATCAGCATAAATATAGACTTTTCTATTAGTGATTTGTCCCTAATCAGGGAATCGGCAATGGAGCCTACAGTATTTTTGTTTACTAGATGACACTAGTGTGGCCCTCTCGTTCTGCGTCCAATAGGAATTTAGCGTCACACCATTCGACGTTCAATATTTGACAGCTACTGTGTTTGGACATAAATACCCCATCCTACATTTGTGCCAATTGGTGCGCAAAACTTTAGCTCCCATTGACTAACAAGATAACGTTCATTATAAAAAATCCGTCCCAATAATGATTTGCCTAACCTGAGATCCCGTAACTACGTCTAAGTACTTACTTTAGTATTTTAAACTAGGTATACCGTAATGAACTTATTTTATACATACTGATTGACGACGAAAATCAACTAAATGAACATCACTAATTTAATCTGTATTTTTTTTTCTTCTTTGGCCATCGAGTCTCCAAAACGATTTAATCTGTATTATTGACAGCTCTAGCTGTCATGTTGGCGATATCATCTGTCAAATGTGACAGATTAGAAAAGTTTCCCGCGCAAAAGTGGTAACACGTGATTTTGGTGGGAAGTTTTGACGAGCATCATGCTGTGTTCTTCTAAGAATATGCGTTTAGAATAAACTTTTCAGTATTCAAGTATTGAGTTTTATTTAAAAATACATACATACGCCTTTTATACCCGAAGGGATAGGCAGAGGTGCAAGTTACGGCACATAATGCCATTGTACGAAGTACGCTTATTAGACGAAACTATGTGGTGAGGTCTGTTTGTGGTTTTTATATTTACTGTTGTTTTTAAATAAAGTTGTTTTTTAATTCGTTTTCGACGTTTTACTTTGGATTCTGTCTTTTGTCTTTTGGGCGATTCTGTATACCTTAGTACACGCCTACCGTGTAATGATTGAATAACATCACGCCTTTTATCCCTGTAGAGAAGGGGTAGGCAGAGATGCACATTACAACACTTAATGCCACTGTACAAGTGTACAATGTAACACCTACTTTTCACTATTTATGTTATGAGTCCCATGCAAAAGGGGATGAGCCTATTGCCATATATCGGGCACAATTCCAGACTTCGTGCTACCGCTGAGATTTTTTTTTAAAACCCAGAAGCACTTTGTCCGACCTGGGAATCGAACCCGAGCCCCCTTTGCTCGGCAGTCGCACATACGACCACTCGGCCAACGAGGCAGTCACTTTGTTTTATTCGAAGACTTAAAATAACAATGGCGACCACCTCATGTATTACTTTTAAAATTTAAAATCTAAACTTCTCTTATAAAAAATTTGGTCTCATTTGACGTTTTCCTTAAAAAAACATCGAGAGATCAAAACAGTAGCCACTACTAAAGTCAAAATCATTTATTTCAATTAGACTATGAAAGCACTTTTGAACGTCAAAACAAAATATTAAAATATTAAAACAAAATCCGTGTGTCGATGTCGGTCAGTCCTCTAGTGAAGCTATTTGCTCGTTCCAAAGTGTAGATTCCTACGGAAAAGAACGAGCAAGAAACTCCATAGGTTACTCTTTTTCAATCAAGTTCACAATACAATTCTTGGTTACATAGTTTCGTTGATTCAATTATGTGAGAACAATGTAACACCAATATTCTGTCAAGGAGAAGGTAAATAAAATAACCTTGAGGACAACAAATTTAACTCGTCGAGTACCGGTTTTATAGACACAATTAAAGAACAATAGGTCGCGGTCACCGGTGACCGCTTGGTGTTTGACAGTTTAATACAGTCTGGAGCTGACCAGTCCCAGTTGACAGCGTCCATTCACGAACCTGGACACGCATGTCGTACACCTTTGATAACTTACTACCATACTTTCATTCTAATGTAGACAATCTAGTTTCTTTATGACATCGAGCATTTCTTTATTGAAACAAAGAGTTTCCTTTTCTTGTATAGAAGCACTATTTCTATGGATTGTCAGTATGCATATGTGAGCACCATGTTAGACTATAAGATTTTTTATTGTTTTTGTTTTGTTTTTTTTTAGTACTTTTGTAATCTGTATAATGCGTCA